AAAAGATAAGCTCCGTTACAGGAAATCGAACCCTAGGCTCCACGGAACTGATCTCTCGGGTTATGAGAGCGCGAAATGTTAGCCACTGCACCATACCGGATGGTTATTTGTTGGGATGATTGGCTACAGTTTGGCTCCAATACCGTAGAGAGGCAGCGTCGTCCTAGCTCTGGATGCTCTGCGTGTCTGGTAAGCAGAATCGAAGTGGTTCAGAGGAGATCGAGCAGATATCATGTGCAGGTGAGGAGAGGAAGGTTACTGATAATGTGAATACATTTTACTTTAATTGTCTAAAAGTCAAAGGGTATCAAGTACTCAAATAACCCTACAACGGAAACCCAGACAACAATGCCTAGAATCAAACATGAAGAAAACCATCCATAGCCATGCTTCCTTACAACACCCCAAACTCCAGATCCAAAAGGCCTTGCGTACAAAGGAACGGTGACAGACAGTATATATGACTCTTAGTTAAGTCTGGGACTCTTTCTCCTAGATAAACTCTCCTCAAGCGCCGTTGGAAGCATGTTCTCGCCGCCCTCAGAAATAATGGGATCCCTGAGTCCAACCTTCTTGGCGCTGCGAGTCGCACGCGTGCTGCGCTTAAACAGTGGCATAGTGCGCTCAGGGGGCATAGAAATAATGCTGGCCCGAGGATCGAAGCCGATAGGGCCTGTTGTGTGGTTTGATACATTGGGGTTCACTTCGCGAAGGCTTCCAACCAGACCCATGTGCTCAGGGGCACTAGCATTGGACATGCGAGAGGGCGGAGGTCGGACTGGAGAAGTCATCATTTTCTCAGGGCAGTCAAGGTCGGCAAAGACGATGGTGCCGTCCTTGTCAGTAGAGTCACGCTCCTTGGTTGGTGTAGAAACCTCGTCAATGCGTGAAATGATAAGATCATGGTCCTCAGTGCGAGGAAGGTCGGTAGGATAGTGGTATTGGACCTTGGCTGGTGTTTCACCGGTTGGCTGGTATTCTTGAAGAGCCGCATTAGTGATATCTTCGCGCAAGTTGGCCAGAGGCTGGCAGAGCTGATCGTTAAGAGGCTCCAGACCATCCTGAAGATCTCCAAGGTCGAGCTCCATCTCCTCGCCCAAGTTCTTGACACGGTCAAATGTGGACTTGAAGTGCGATGAGATGTTTCCGAAAGACTCCTCAACAGTATTAGACAAGGCTTGAACGGACATGCTGTGGGATTGGTGGTGATGGCCATTCTCAGTCTTGGCGCGGCTGACGAAGTCATCGAGGGCTTCCATTTGAACATCGAGATCCTTGATCTGCTCGTCGACAACGCGAACGGTCTCGGCGTGAACAGACTTAGCAGTAGCTTGGATGGAGCTGCTGTGATCATTGGCAGCTGTCCAGTCATCCTTGAGCTTGGTCTTGAGTTGATCGCGAGATTTCTTGACCTCATCCAACAGCTCTCCTTCCTTGACATCCCACGATGACATACCCTCGCCATAAGTGTCAACAGCCTGTTCCAGATTTGTGCTAGTGGCAGTGATGCTCTTCTGAATCTGAGAAGCCCTGTTATGAAGGCGTGACTCCTGAGCGTCGGCATGGGTGTTGATTAAAGCTGTGATCTGGGTCATGAGCTTCTGACGCTCATCAACGGCTTGGCGACGCTCCTCTACTAGCGCATCTTGGATTCGCGAGGAGATCGTAGCGTTTTGTAGCACAATGGTGTTTGTTGCCGTTTGGAGCTGTCGCCTGAGATTATCACACTCAGCTCGTTGAGCGGTGATGTGCTTAACAAGATCCTCGAAAGTGGACTTGAAATCTTTTCCAAGAGCACTGTAAGAGTTATGCAGCTTCGACAAGTTAGTGTTTATGCTTGACTGATCTGGAATGGAAACTGACCTGTCCATGGAAAGCAGTCATCTCGCTCAACATATCTGCCGCTATCCTCTCGGCAGAGTGAGAAATAGACTGCAGACTCTCGCCCATTCGCTCCTTGACCGTGTCACGAACAACTTTGATCTCCTCCAAAACCTCATCCATATCCTCCTTCGACTTCTGCTTAGACTCGAGTAAGTCCTTCTTTGACTGAGTGAATGTGCTTAAGTGCTCATCGAGGAAAGTTTGTGTCGTGGAAAGCTTACGCAGCTCCTCATCCACAAAGTTCTCCATACGTTGTCCAACGCTCGCGATATGTTCTTGCTGCTCTTCCTGAAACTCGCTGATTCGACGCTCGACCATGGATGTAACATCAGCAACCTGGTCCTGAGATGTTGTCCATGTGTTTCGGTTGAGAGACTGAAGATCCGACTTTCGCTTGTTCTTGGCATGAAGACCACCAACATCACGTACTGTCTTATGTAGTTTGTTGATGAGTTCTCCGCCGACCTCAGTAAGCTTCTGCTCTGTCTTTTGGTGCGCCTTTCTGATCTTGGTCTCTTCGGCAAGCGACTTTCGTGTTGCTGATAGGACAATCTCGGTCTGATCCAAAACTTCCTTGGTATCGTCCAGCTGAGCTTTTGTGCCCTCATGATCTTTCTTGAGTCCCATAAACGTAGACTGGAGGCTGAACAGCTCCTGTACCTTGTTTCGCAAGTTGTTTTCCAGAGTCTCAAGCTTAGCAGCTTGTTCCTCGTTGACGATACGGCGAGATTCGCTCTGTGCTGTCATCTCCTCGTAGGCCTCATTTGAAAGATAGACACCGTTGCGTTGGCGGGTAGCGATGAGCTCACTCTTGAGTTTCTCAATTTCCATAGTAAAGTCCTTGAGAAGTGTCTTCTTCTCAACCATGGGGTTAAGCTGAGGTTTATTCTTGATATTTTTTGCCCTGAAAGCATAGTCGAGTGTCGAGATCGTCTCTTCCAAGTTACTCTTTGCGGGAGAAATGGTTGCAATAATGCAAGTCTTTGTTCTACCACCGAGCGAGTCTTGCAACAGACGAGTCAACTTGGACTCTCTGTAAGGAATATGAGAGCTGCGATCCACGAGCGCGTTGATGACTCGACCAAGAGTCAAGAGTGACTTGTTGATGAGGCCAGCCTCTGCAGCACGCTTGTTCTCAGCTCCTGATCGTTGAATGTTTTCACTTCCAGCCAAATCGACAAGGTTCAGCTTTCCAGCACTAACAAGAGCATCTACACCATGCTCGTTGGGCTTTCGGACATATGTTGTGATCGTGAAGACTGTGTGACTGCGAGAACTGAGGTCGTTGCACTTTGTAGCCGCTACCTGGCGCTTCAAACTGCCCTCCTGGAGCACCTTGACACCCTCAGTAGCGCTCTTGATGTGCTTCTCCTCCATGCCTTGGACGATTGTGCTGAGGTGGCCTCGTCGTGATGTGTCGTCGAAAATCTTGAGCTTGGTACCATCGTCGACTGAGAGCAGATCACGAAGTTCTTCGTTGTAAAGTTCGATAAAGGAGCACTTGATGGTGCTTTCGGCGTCTTCGAGCTCGAGCTTGTTGAATAGTGTCTGCAGAACTCGAGGAATGATACCCGCTTCGTCTGAGAGCATACCCAGAGTCTCGGTCATGTCACCAGACATGGTATAAGTCTTGCCTGTTCCTGTCTGTCCATAGGCAAAGATGGTACAGTTATATCCGGCAAGCATCTAGAAGAATCAGTAACTATATTGTGCCTCACTCTGATAGAACCCACCTCATCCAAAATAGGCTTTACTGTGTCATCAAAGACCATATTTTGATCTGCCGCCTGCGAAAAGACGCGATCAAAGTTATAAGAGCGGTTGGTCAAAGCATTAGAGCCCATTGATAATTCGACAATTTTTCCCTTGACCGCATCCGCCGTAACAACGACATTGCTGTTCTCGCGAACCTCGCGCTCGTTGCGTCCACGGCATCTCACAACGACCTGAATATTTGTCTCCTCGGCGCTAGACTCGGCCTCAAAGTCGCGCTCCTTGCGCTTCGTTCCGATGGTGTTAACAGTGTTTACTGAAGCGATAGATCCAGTCGGTGATACGGCGCCGTTGCGCGTCGCGAGCGATGAGCCGTATCGTGTTGATGGTGCTCTTGAGCCAGCTCTTACGCTGGAGCGGCTGTTGGCGGTGGCAGCGCGCACGCCTGGAGCCATGGCGATGCGGCTGTGCTCCCGATCGGAGCGGGTTGGGCGTGGAGGAGCCACGATGGGCAACTGTTTGTGGGTTCTATTGAGTTAGTTGTGGTGTTGAAAGCTGTAGAAGAAGCCTCGAGAATGCTTCAGACGCTGCACATTCGCTTGATCGAGTATGAAACTGAAGAAGCAAAAATGGTTGAAGCTTGGAGAACCTCGAATAATCTGATAGTGCAAGGAGGGGATGCCTGCATTGAATTTTGATTATGGTAGCGGCAGGGCTGTTTGGCATAAAGTAAATAGTACAACTGTTGAACCATGTTTAGGTGGAACGGGCTGGGGTCAACACAGAACTAGGGCGTCTGTTGCCACGACAACCAGCCACTGCCGGTTCGACGTCCTGGTCTGGCACTCAATGAGACTCACTAAAAGCGGTGAAAGTCATGTTACGATAGGTCATTATTTCATGTCTTAAGTGCGAGTATCATGATCACCTCTACTATCATGAGACACTTAAATTAGGTTCTCAGGAATCCAAGGTTAGACGTCAACGACATTGCATTCCCGTAAGAGTCTAATGCTCAAGGACGCCTTCTATGTAATACAAGTGGTTAATCGATACCTTCAGGGTTGTAGTTTCGTCGTATCATGAAGCGCTTTGCAATGTTGAAGATACCTTGCTATTCGGTATCCATCTTGTTGTCATCGGCTTCTGACTTTGTCGCGTCCGCGGAAGCTTTGGCTTCCTCTTCCTTTTTCTCTCCATCCTTAACATCAGAAGCCTCAACACCGTCTTTCTTGTTGTCCTCGGCTTCTTCTTCTTCTTCTTCTTCTTCTTCTTCTTCTTCTTCTTCCCTCAGCTTCTTATGGGTCTCGCTTTCAAGGTCTTCATCTGCCTCTCGTTTAGAGCCCACGCTCTCTGCGCCAGGGCTCTTGGCTTCACTCTCACCTTCAGCATCTCCATCAGCGTCCACATCGGCTTTGGTTTCTTCATCATCGTCATGTTTCCTACCAACTGCCGCCTCAACATCGATGCCTTGCATTCCCATGCCACCTTCTGACATGAAAC